TGTGTTTTATGCTATGGCCATATGGGCGAACAATGATCAATGATCCATGACGGATGGTGATGCATTCATCTCATCCAATGCATCATTGTCATTGCGTGGCATGGGTCACTGAGTGGGCCCGGTGAGTGCGTTTGTTTGTGTTGAGCGGGTGACTGACTCATCTATGTCATGTACACAATAAATACTACTACGTGAATAGAATGCATTCATCTGGTTGGTGAAAGGGTGCCGAAGGAAGGGTTCGGGCAAGTTGGGTTCGGGTTTCAGGGTTTGGCTTAGCTCGCCGACCTTCCGACTTTGCTTCTAAACGACGTCGTTATCTCTCAGCCCAGCAGCCCCGAGCATCAGTGCTCAGCAGCAGGATGATATCTTCCATTTTACTGATCAACCAGAAGGGCGAGATTCTCATCCACCGCTCCTACAAGGGCGACGTCACCCGCACCGAGGCCACCCTCTTCTGCAGCAGAGTGGTGGCTGCCAAGGAGGCACGCGAGAAACCCATACTCTCTATTGGCCAGTGCCACTTCATACACACTACCATCGGTGAGTCAGTCAGTCACTCGGGCCGCACACCAGACACACAGCCACACACACAGAGAGAGAGAGATGGATGGAATGGATGGGCTGTGTGTCGTGTGTCTGGTGTGTGGTTGTGTGTGTTGGTTGGTCCAGGTGACATAACGGTGGTAGCGACGACCAAGAGCAACGCCAATGTGATGCTGGTGCTCAAGTTCCTCTACCGACTCGTGGAGGTCTTCAGCGCATACTTTGGCGGACAGGTCGACGAGAACGCCGTCCGCAAGAACTTCGTGCTGATCTATGAGCTGCTCGACGGTGGGCAGTGAGTGCACTGAGGACCGGGGGGTGAGAGGAGAGAGGAAGACAGACCAGCTTTGTATGTATCGCATCTCTCTGTGTGTACGTGTGTGGGGTCGGTGGGTGCGTTTGTGTTGTGTGTGATTTGATTTGCTGCCCAGAGATAGTTGATTACGGATTCCCTCAGATACTGGAGGTGGACATACTGAAAAAGTACATCACACAGGGCGGCATGAAGACTGTCGACCTCAATGTAAGAGTGTGTGTGTGTGTGTGTGTGTCACAAAGGCAGACGCAGACAGACAGACAGACAGACAGACAGAAGACAGACAGACAGACACACAGACATGTGTGTGTGGTGTTGATAGGATGAAGAGCAGCTGAAGAAGCTGACTGTCCAGGCGACGGGCAACTGCTCATGGAGGGCCGACGGAATCAAGTCAGTCAGTGTCTGTCGGCACACACAGACGAGCCGAGCCACCCACCAGCGCCGCAGCCCCCCCACCTCCACGTGTGTGTGTATGATGTCTATTAGGTATCGCAAGAACGAGGTCTACATCGATGTCATCGAGAGCGTCAATGTCCTCATCTCACACAAGGGTAAGCTAAGCAAACAAGACAAGCAACCAGCCAGCCACGGAGTCCCTCCCTGTGTGAGTGAGTGACCGCCCCTGCCCTGTACCACTGCACTAACTGCATCTGTGTGTGTGTGCTGCAGGTGTGGTGTTGCGTGCGGACGTGTCGGGTCAGATCATGGTCAAGTGCCTCCTGTCGGGCATGCCGGAGTGCAAATTCGGGTGAGAGGGAGGGGAGAGGGAGAGGAGAGCAGCGGCACAACACAGTCGTCGGACGGGAGGGATGTGGGTGCCGTGCTGTGTTGCCTTGTGTGTGTGGAGTAGGATGAACGACAAACTCGTCATGAATCGTGATCCACGAAAGTAATTTGCCATCCACACATTAGTGCGTGTGACGCGTGCGCTTGAGACACGTGGTGTATGTGTGCGTGACGTTTTCAGGGCGAACAAGGGCACGGCGATTGCCATCGACGACTGCCGTTTCCACCAGTGTGTGCGGCTGCCCAAGTTCGACCTCGAGCGCACCATCACATTCATCCCACCCGACGGCACATTCGAACTCATGACGTACACTACACAAACCACTCACAATCTAGATATCGCGATTTGTGTGATTTCTCTACCGACTTTGCTTCCTCTCTGCGTGTGTGTGTGCGGTAATTGCAGTTACCGGATTACGGAGAACATCAATTTGCCTTTCAAGATCCTGCCGGTGGTGCAGGAGCGGGGCCGCACGCGAGTGGAGTGTTCCGTCAAGGTCAAGGCCAACTTCGCCAAGAACATCTTCGCCACCAACGTCATCATCAAGATACCATGCCCGAAGACCACCGCCAAGGCGCACCTCTCTAACGTTGGTACGGATGGAGTGGACGGACGCGTGTTTGGACGGGACGGTGTGTCAGAGAGGGCATGGCGGCATGCTATTCTATGCTGTGTGTGCCATACGCCGATGTGTGTATGCTATGCGTGTGTCAGGTGCTGGCAAGGCCAAGTATGAGCCGTCACAAGGGGGCATTATCTGGAGGTCAGTCAGCATCACACACACCCGCACTGCAGTGCAGGCATTGCAATGCATTCGTCGTGTGTGCATTGTTCTTTCTTGGTCCCATGGTCTGCCTGCAGGATTCGTCGGTTCCCCGGGGACACTGAGTACACACTGCTGGCGGACGTGGAACTCGCCTCGTCGGTAGGTCAATCAATCAAGTCACTCACACGCCACACCCGTCCCCTTCCGTCTATGAGTGTCGATCGAGTGTGTTGGATGTGGTACTGTGCATGTGTGTGGTGTGCTGTCTGTGCTACATACAGGTGACCGACAAGCAGTGGTACCGTCCGCCGATCGCGATGGATTTCCAGGTGCCCATGTTCACCGCATCCGGACTCAGAGTCCGATTCCTCTCAATACAGGTACGTACACACGCACGCACGCAGATGAGATACACATGGGAAGGTACACCAAACATTGATTATGAGTGGATTTATCTTACATGTGTGGCTGGGCTTGGCTGTGTGCCGCAGGAGAAGTCGAATTACAAGCCTGTCAAGTGGATTCGGTACATCACCAAGGCCGGCAGCTACCAACACAGAATATAATGGCAGACAGGCAGGGAGGGAGGGAGGCGGCCCAGGCAGTGTACGGTTTTTCTTTCGCCAATTGAGGGAATTCAACAGTGACACCCATTTTCACATTTTCACGTGTCAATCAACGCATTGCATTCATGCAGTCAGTCAGTGTTGTCTGTCTCTTGGTGGAATGGCTTTGACGTGACGCCACCGAGAGAGAGCTGACCGATCCATCCATCCATCGATCCATCCAGACACTCATGCAGACCTGCCTCGCCTCTCTGTGCGTGTGTATATCCATGAAGCACTCATCCATGACCCTTCCGTCTCGCAACAGAAACGTCACGCCCCCATCTGTCGGTGAGCAGACCGATTGTCGGCCCTCCAGCTGACGCTGTTGCTGTCCCTGGCCCTGGCCTTACAGTCTGCCTGCGCCGGTCTGTCCCGTCTGCGGCAGCTGACTTGCCCATCCACCCACACACAGGCGATATTGCGGTCGTCGCCGAGGTGCATCAGCTTCTCCAGCTGCTCCCGACGACTCTCACTGCCGGTGAAGTCGATGTTGTCGCCGATAGTCACATCCCACAACACGGCATCGAAGCGATAGCCCTCAGCCAGCAGCCCCAACTGAACACACCACACCACACCACACCACGACGCACCGGAGGACACATGGCTCACGTGCGGCTCTTCCTTTCATGTAGGTGGGGTGGCTGTGTGTGCACCGCACCTGTTTGCCCATGTTGAGGGCCTCTGCGCCGCCCCGTGTGGCGAGATACAGAGCATTCACCCAGTCGAGAGCAGGGCTAGTGGTGTCAGACGAGCCTGCAGGGAAGGGCTCCCACGGCTTCACACCCGCCAGCCGATGGCGCTCATGGTGCTGTTGGATGGACAGGGCACGGCTAGCAGTCACTGCACACACGACAGAGGCGGAAGACCGTCATGCGGCTGCCTTGCCCATGTGTGTATGTGTAATGTGTCTCTGTGCCCACCTGCGTGCTGCATGGCGTTGATCATGGAGGGTGAATATCCGCCAGCAACATCAGTACCAAGACCGACACGGACACCACTACGCAACAGCGACCGAACGGGCAGCAATCCACCCGCGAAGTAGAAGTTGGACAGAGGACAGTGTGCAATGGCGGTCCCCCTGGCCCGCAGCCTCTCCACGTCGCCCTCAGAGAGGTATATGGCGTGGGCCATGATGCACCGGTCGGTCAGCAGGCCGTGTCGATCGAATATCTCAGCATCCGTGGGGCATGGAGGATACGGGTTGTGCTTGTGGTGGTCATCCTTAAGCTGGTGGATCGCCTCAACGAACTGCATCTCGTCTATTGACTCGCTCATGTGCGACTGTACGTGGCACCCGTGCTCGCGAACCAACGCACCGAGACCTAAAACAGCACGAGGGAAGGACAGAGGGAAGGATTCGCCGCGCGTCTGTGCTGTGCCTGACCCTGTGCACTGTAAATGCATGCGATGCGTACCTGCCAGCAGCTCATCCGAGCATGTGGGAATAAACCGTGGTGTCACTACAGGCTGCACAATCGATGGGCGTTGCCTGAAGGACTCGATGAATCTCGCCGTCTCTTCAAGTGACTTCTCAGTGGTCTCGCAGTAACCAGGAGGGCAGTGCCTGTCCATCGATATCTTGCCCACGAAGGCCCGCTGCCCCTCCTCTGCACACACGTCAGCAAGGGCTTCACTCGCCTGAATGACACGCCACGCCCACAGTCAGACAGACAGACAATGTGTAATGTGCATTTCATGCGTGTGTGTGTGCACAACCAAGCCCGCGTGTGTGCGTACTTGTCTGTCAGCCGTGGCGAAGTACACGGCTGTCGTGGTGCCGTTCCGGAGTGTCCGTCTGACAGCTCTGCGGTAGAGAGAGTGCACCTCAGCTGTCGGCAGATGGGCAAACTGACGCTCTACCTGACGAGAGGATGGAACAATGAATGGACCTTACTGATGAGTGCATGGCCATAGACACGACAGATGGACCGCTTGACTCCCTCCCTCCCTCCCTCACGGGGAATGTGTATGCGTCCAGCCACTCCATCAACGGCTTGTCCATGCCGGTGCCCGCATAGCTGCAGCCAATGCATGACATCATATCGCATTGATTGTAACACACACAGAAGCAAAGAGTCAGCTGGCACCCATAGCATTCCTGCAGTGCATACTGCACTGCCCTGCAGGCAACTGCACTGCAGGCCGAGCATCCAATGATATGGATCCGCCTGATCTATAGACATACCTGTGCTGTGACGCGTGAATGTGCGTATCAATGAATCCGGGCGTCAGGAACTGACCCTTGGACAGCCGCTGAAGGCGTCCTTGAGCAGCATGCGCCTCAACGATATCGCTCACATCCTCGGCTGGGCACTGCCACACAATCGAGCCGTCAGATCCGACTGCAAGGGCCGTGTTGGTGAGGATGGCGAGGTCATCGATGGATGGCGTCTGGCAGATGTCACCAACGACGACGAAATCGATGCCAGATCCATTCATTTGTGTCCTTCACTTCACTTCACTTCGTGCGAGCTGAAAGAAGAGAAACGATCTTAGCGCGCACAGGCAAAGGAGAAGCGTCAAGCCTCCCAGCAGCCTCCCGCCTCTGAAGAAATTCATCCTCCCTCGTCGGTTCCTTCCTTCTGCCATTTCTGATCCGTTTTGTCTTGTGTCATGGCAGCAATCAACATTGAGGGGCAGCCGAGCGACGGGTGTGACGTTGCTACTGTTAAGGCCTTCCAGCTGCCATGGCTAGATGAGCTAAAAGAGCTCATGTAAGCAAAAGGCAACCGTATCGAAATCAGTCCCGATGACCGAGGGCTGCGTTTGTTTCTGTTTCTGTCTGTCTGTCCGTCAGGCAGGCATTTGGCTCTTCCGAGCATTGCGTCAAATCTACTGTTTATGTCTGCTTTGTTCATCAATGCGCTGGTGGTAGAGCGGTACGGGGACGCCGCACAGGTGGGAGCCCTCGGCCTCGCAAACACTATCGGTACCTCACCTGACCTGCACAGGGCAGGCGGACATTCCTGTGTGCGCTGTTTGGTGCTCTCCTGTCCTGTAGGCACCGCCTGTTGTCTGTCCATCATATTGGGCTTACTGGGGGCATTAGACACACTTTGCTCACAGGCCCACGGCGCCAGTCAGCCTCGACTAGTGGGGCTCTATCTCCACCGTGCCCGACTTATCATTTCGCTGGCCTTCATTCCCCTTGCCATTCTGCTTTCCTACAGCAGGGACCTGCTGCTGTGGATGGGCCAGGACCACCACATAGCCACGATCGCTGGGGCGATAGTGAACTGGAATACAGTTGCCTACTTCGCTAACGGACAGGCCGAGGCGACCAGACGGTTCCTGCAAGCGCAAGGGCACACCAAGCCTGGTGAGTGCGCAAATTTGCTGCACGAGAGATACCTTGGTGGCGTGTCTGATGGATCGATGGATGTGTGTGTGCAGGTCTGTGGGTTGCCTTGCTGACTTTGCCCGTCCACGTGCTGATGGTGTACCTGATGGTGATCCGTGGCGGCCAGGGGGCGGTCGGCACCGGCATTGCCACCTGCATCTCCAACGTGTTCAATTTCATCGTCCTCCAGATATACGTTGTGGTGTCTGGTGTGGCTGGCGAGTCGTGGATCCCATTCTGCGCGGCGTCCTTCGACCGTCGCGAGATGTGTGCCTACCTGCGGCTGTCGATCCCCGCCGCATCATTGGTGTGTCTTGAATGGTGGGCATTCGAGATCATGGCACTGGAAGCGGGAGCACTCGGCAAAACTCAGCTGGCCGCTCACGGTACGTACGTACGGTGTGTGGGGTGGGGTGGGGCCCGGTGGAAGACACACACTTTGTCTGTCTCATTTGTGTGTGTGGTTTGCTATGCGTATTCTTCTTTGCATGCTGGCCTCTTCAGTTGCGGCGTACAACGTGACGGCTCTGTGTTACATGCCGCCGGCGGGCTTTGGCGTGGCTGCGGCGACCGCCATCGGCAACGCCGTCGGCGGGCGCCGGGTGAAACAGGCCAAGAAGTACTTCGCGGTGGGTCGGGCGGGCAACACACACACACACACACACACACACACAACACGCGCACCCCCCCAGGAAAAAGGCCGCTCATTGGTGTCTGTCCCCCTGTCTGCCTGCCTGTGTCAGTTGGTTGTGACTTTGGACCTGCTGCTGTTCTCGGTGATCTGCAGCTGCCTGTTTGTCTACCGGGACACCCTCTCCTTGGTGCTCTCACCCCCGGGAGACATCAAGGTGCAGGCAGTGGTGCAATCGCTGCTGGCGCCGCTAGCGTTCTTCGAGATATTTGATAGCCTCAATGGCACACTCGCGGGTGTGCTGCGGGGCCTGAGCAAGCAGGGGCCGGCGGGGGCGCTGAATCTGGTGCTCTTCTACGTTGTCCTGCAGGTACTGCCACGCAGTCATGTGTGAGCACATATGTGCCGTAGAATACAAGTCATGTGTGTGTGTCGTTCAGCCGCTGTCGTATTGGATGGCCTTTGTGCTACGGTGGGCCGCCCTCGGTCTGTGGATCGCCATCGGCATCATTCTTATGATCCAAATCGGCTTCTACTTCGGCATCATCTTCTCGACCGACTGGTCACGTGTGGCTGACGAGGCCGCCAATAGGATGGCCGCCACATCCATCAAGGACGCCGAATGCGACGGCACCACCGACAATGTCAGCATCCGACTCCCGCCAAAGCGGACAAAGTCACAGCTGCGCGTGGACCCCAATGCTGCAGCTGCTGCTGACAGCACCGGCACCATGGCCAGTCCTTCCTCCGGCAGCAACCCTCTATGGCGGTTTTTCTTGCGGCTCAGACAGCAGAAAAGCTATCGCCCCCTGGCCACCGTCGACGACGAAGGTCAGGAAGAGGACGATCGGATGGGCGAAATCGACGAGTCAGACGAGGCGAGTCCATCCACTTGCCCGCCAGAGGAGGGCTCCCTGGACCAGGACGGCGAGTCCATCCACTTGCCCGCCAGAGGAGGGCTCCCTGGACCAGGACGGCAGCAGCCCCTTCTCGTCGTCGGTTTCATCATCTTCCCATGCGTCCGATGGCGCATCCCTCGTGCCAGCCCAACAACACGACACGCCGGACACCCGGAGTGCCTTCAAGAAGACGGCCAAATTTGTGCGCTTCTCGGACGACAGCATGGTGGTGCGGATCGAACGAGAGCCAGATGACGGCGGGGGCTTGGTGATAGAGACGTCGGTGAAGGCGCGAAGCCCTCTGTGATCGGCCGGGCGACGCAGGGCGCCAGCGACTCGCTGTCATGCATGCAGTGACTCATTTCATTTGCCCGCTAGTTGATGGTGGCGGTTTTCCGGTGCGTGTGTGTGCCCGAAGGGGCAGACAGACGGGCGGGTAGGTAGGCAGGTACTCTGCCCTTCGTTGCTGTCGGGTATTTTATTGTAGTTCCGTCCGTTGTAATTCATGTGGAAATTGTGTGCATATGCATGCGTGTGTGTGTGTGTGTGTGTATCATGTAGCGGCTGGCTGCTGCTTGCCTCGATGGAGCACTGCTGACGCATGCATGCATCAGTGCAGTTTTCCCTCGATTGCTCACTTTTCCCAGCCAGCCCCCCTCCTCCCACCCACCATGATCCGGGAGGAAGGGAGGTGCCATTTTTGAAGTGATTTCAAGTGATTTCAACCTCAGTGGCTATATATCCCTGGCGGGTGTCTGTGTTGCGTGTGCGTGTCGTTGAATGAGTACGTGTGGGTGTGTGTAAATGGCCCGCCTGTCTGCATGTAGCAGCCAGCCAGCCACTGTGGCTGGCAGGCAAATGCGACATCCGCACACAAACTTGATGGTGTTGCCTACCTGCCTGCCTGCCGTGCCTGCGGGAAGGGAAGATGCATGCACGCACGCCCGCACTCAGGTGGCGCACCGTGTCTGTGTGTCTGTCCATATTATGTATGTCTTGGTGGAGATAGATACATCGATGGATGCCTCGTCGCTGCACGCATTGTGGTGTTTCAGTCCACTGCATGTGTGTACTTCCTTGCTTTTTCTGTTTTGTGTGTTTTGTCCGTTTTGTACGTCACGTATACATACATACATACGAGTGCATGTGTGCATCGATGTGTCGTGTGTGAGGCTTTCAATTGGGGGCAGGTGAATGCTCATGTCACCTTCTCTGCACCCATATACGATGCGCAAGACGCGAATCCACGTAACTGGGAGTCTGTTCGCAGGACTGTACACATGGATGGATGGATGGATGGGCCGGCCTTTGTTCCATTCGTTGATATTGACTCCATTCATGAATGTGACGGTCCCGTTGAACAACAATCAACATGCACTCATCGATCAACCACTTTCCCTTTCTCTCTGTTCCCCTGCCCCACCCGCACCAACACCGACATCATCACAATGGCTGTCAGTATCGTCGTCAGTTATCCTGACAAACCTCTCGAGGTCCTTGATCCGCTGCTGCAGCTCATTCTTGAGCCGTGTCTCCTCCAGCAAAGACCTCGTCAAAGCCGCTCGACCCTTGTGTGTGAAGGCTGCTGGCGGGAAATGTCTTCCTGTGGCTGCCGCAGCCGGTGGTGTCTCACTGGCTAGAGCGGCACTAAGGTCAAGAGGACGGATGTCGTGGTGGCTTTCTTCTGCGCTCATTTGAGCAGCCGTCTCCGTCTTGATGTCCTCGCCCTTCTCTGAAGTCTCATCGTGTGCTACAGTGGGGCCTTCATGTGTGTCAATGGTGGTTGTGGTTGAGCAGAGCTTGTTCTGTGCTGCCACCAGGCTGGCGTCGGTATGGAAGATAGAAGAGGACAGATTCCGCCTTTTGGCCGCCAGCGCGGCCCCATGAGCACCGCGGGTCTTGTGCGCCGCTTTGGTGGCGTCTTTTGGTGGGCCGTGGAGCTGCCGGAGATGCTCTTGAATGTCGATATTCCGCTGGGCCACCTCTTGCAGAGCCAAGTGCCTCTCATGTATCTCATCCACCAGCTGTTCGAACAGCTGCTCCTCTTCTTCCGTCAGGCTAGTGGCTTTGGGCACGCCAGCCTCGACTATCTGCTCCTGCTGTATCTCCCTCAGTGTCTTGGGTCGGGGCACACAGTCGGGTGCCTGTGGCAGCGTGGCCTTCTGCGGCAAGACCTGACACCTCTGAAATTGGAACCTCCTGGCCACCTCGTCCTTGAGGTCGTCTCTGCTGACGACCGGCCCGTGTGTGACGTAACCAGCCTTCTCGTACATCTTGTAGCCCTTGGTCTCCTTCATGATGTCTGCAAGTGTCTTCTTGGCCGGCCTGACGAGGCCCGGCCACATCTCATCTTCGTCACCATCGTCGCGCGCGCGCCCGCCGCGGCCGACCTTGGGCACCGAAATGGATGTCCGCTGCGGGCAGGGCTTGATGGGCTTGTTCGGTGGAGGGTGTAGCTTGAGAGTAACGTCTTGTGTGTTCTTCTTGAGGACGGGGTAGTCGATATTGGGCTTCTCTGTGGCGCCGTAGAGGGCGTAGAGCGCCCGGCCGGCAGCCGTGCCCTGCATTGACACCCTGAACGAGAAAGATGTAGGCGCCTTGCCTTTACAATGTGCGCCGCTCACCAGAGTGCTCGTGTGGATGATGCATCGCTGTTGCCGTCGGTGGATGGAGCGAACCGACTCATTGCAAAGAGAGCTTGTCCAGGACGGGCAGATCCACGCTCTCCAGCGGATTCAGAGTCCTCAGTCAGCCAACGTAAGAGCACAGACGGCAACCAGTTTTCGCAGCAGCTTTGGAAAGCTCTTTGCAAGGTCTTTCACATTCCTCGTCGCCAAGTGGGCGCCCGCATGCATGCGAGACTGGGGGTTTGCGAGCTCTTGAGAAGGCGCCGCGACGGCCCTCCACATTAGCTCCAACCCCCTAGGGACATCAAACACTGACTGAGCCTGATGGAGACCTATGATTTGGCTTCAGGAAGCGAAAAAGTGTGGGTCCTCATCAGCGGGTAAGAATCAATGCCGTGGTCCCCATGTTTCAACCAAATATGAGTGGTCCCTTCCCTGCTGCTGTGTGCCTGTGTGTCTGTCTGCGTCAGGTGGCTATGGAAGGAGCGATGGATGGGTCTGGAGGGCTCGCTGCGTTTCTTCTTCCACTGCCCTTCACGCAGCCTGGTAGAGAACAAACGCGGCGCCGCGGGCAGCACCACGCGCCTGGAGGGCCGAGAGGATGTGCGCATTACATACACGCAGATACGAGGTGCGGAATATGCACTGCCATCGAGTGAATCAATCAGTACTGACTGACGTCATATCTCATCTGCTGCCTGTCTGTCTGTCTGTCTGAGTGTGAAGATGTGGAGTGGGTGCACAGCAGAGAGAGCGAGGACAAATGGCTCAAGGTGAATCAGAGAGAATGAATGCCTGCAACACGAGGAATGCAATTCATCGTCCGTCGCATCGATGGATGTCCTTGCTGTCAGGTGTCCTATGTGTTGGGCGCTGGTCAGCCGATGAGGTGTCTGACGGTCTGCTTCTTCTCGGCCGACGCAGCCGAGTCCTGGCGCGACGCCATCCTGAAGCAGGTGGTGCATCAGCGCGCTCACCGCTGCCTCGCCCCACTGACCTTCACCCAGCCATTCAACCTGGAAGACGACCGCGACCCGCCATACGACTGGACCGAGCAGAACGGCTGTCGGGTGTCCTTCGAGGAACCTGATGCAGACGGCCCGCCGCCGTCGGTCCCCCTGCTCACGTCCAAGGTGCGGTGTCGGATTCCCCACACCATCTTGGCCATGATGGGTCGGCGGGAGCCGTGGGGCGTGCAGGAGCGCGCTGCCAGGCGGAAGCGGCAGGAGGCGTACGCCATGCTCGAGAGCAAGGGGCTGGATGCGTCCGACCTCCGGACGATGTGGTACCGCTACCAGAGGGAATGCGCGAGATATCGCAACGTCAGACGCAAGACCCCGCCCCGCCACAGCCCCCGTGACCACCAGCAGCAGCAGCACCAGCATCACTCGTCGCGGCTGTGCGGGCTCGATGCCGTCATATCGAAGGCATTGCGTGGCGGAGGGAGGCGCCGTGGCAGTGGTGCGGCAGTGGATGCCCCACCTGTCGTCTTGAGCTTTGATGACTTTGTGGACTACCTGCAGCAGCACGGCCACCTCCCGCTGAAGCCATATGCCGCTGCGGAGAGCGACGAGGGCGGAGCGGCCAAGACCACCCGCAGGCGCATGTCGGGGTTTCGCCCCCGGCTAGACACGGGTGCGCGAGCCACACCGGACAGAGCGGACACACATGTGTGCCCTGTCCCTTTGTGTGTTGGTGGTCATTTCAGTTGCGGAGAGTGCTGCTGAGGAGGTTGCTGAAGGAGATGACCACCAGCAGCCGGGCAAGCTGCGGCGCAGCAGGTCCTTCACGCTCTCCACCCTCTTCCGGCGTTCTTCGTCTGCCAGCACCGAGGAGTCATCACCTGGCGACACATCACCACCCGCACCACCAGCCCAACCAACAGACCCGCCCCTCCCCTCCCTCCCACCACCGCCCCCGCCCCCGCCCCCTCCCACGGACACCACCACCAGGTCGCCCGAGAAGCGCAGATCCGTCACAGCACAGAGCAGGGGCACGCCGGCCAACCGTCCCACGCCACTGCGGTTGGTGTCCCCGCGCTGCCCCAAGACATCTGTGTCGACGAGCAACCAGAGCAGCCCGTACAGGATGGCGAGCGTGAGCGACCGGCGGGTGGAGAGGCGGAAGGCGGACCCTGAGGTGCCTGACCAGCGTGGGAGGCCGATGATGTGGTTCGACTGTGTGCGTGACATTCGGTGTCCGGATGACGACTACCGCCTGGGCATCAAGGGGCCGCCCGCTAAGACGAGCGAGCCCATCCCGTCCGTGGAGCTGCCCAAATGGCAGAACTTCGATGTCCCGTTTATTCCTGGGGTGAGTTCTCTTACTTAGTGAGGAGGAATGGGTGAAGCAATGCAATGCAATGCATAGTCATTGATGAGTGCTGTGTGGTGTGGTGTTGTGTTGTGTGGTGTTGTGTTGTGTGGTGTGGTCTGTCCGTGTGTCAGGGTGGCATTGTGGGTGTGCATCCGTTCGTGCAGCGGGCGATGGGACATCTCAAGGAAATGCTCAGGAGGAAGTCACTCGGGTGAGCTGCATGCGGTGGTGCCTAGACACATACACAATGTCTCCACACACAGTGTCCGAACATGGGTTTGTCCTTCTCTACCCCTGCCGTCCTGCAGGCTGCCCATCGATGACACGCCATCCGTCGGCACGGCCGTCAAGGACTCGGCGCAGCCGCCACCCAACCCTCCCGCAGACTCACCCCCTCCCCCTCCCCCTCCCCCACCCCCTCCCAGCGAGCCTGTCGGGCAGCCAGCAGAGAATGAGCCGAATGATGCTCCGGAGACCAACGCCATCGCTATCGACCCACCGTCTGTGAGCGAAAGTGGCAGCGGCAGGGAGAGCGGAGACGAAGGCACAGAACGGCACACGCCTTACACAGCCATCCACAACGGGGTTGCTGTCGAGAAGGACAATGGCGGTGGTGCCGAGAGCGTCTTTGAGCCATCAGTGAGCGATGATGACCACAGCGAGAGCGAGAGTGGCGACGACGAGCCGACAGAGGACTATGCCGGAGCATCGGATGCGTCGAGGCCTGACGATGGGTTTGCCGCTGACTATCTGATGGCCCTGAAGCTGCCGCCCAACCCTTCCAGCACCCACGAGACGCCACGCGATGAGTCGGAGGGGCGACAGCAGCTGGACACACCCACGGCATTACCACCACCGCCACCAGCACCAGCAGCAGCGCCTCACAGGACGGCCTGGCCTTCCACTGAGGAGCCGGCATTGTCAATCCGCAGAGCCCCTCCTCCCGAGACACTGCCCTTCACTCGTGTTGCTGCTGGCTCGATTCGGCAGATCGTCACGCCATCGCAGCCAAAAAGGGCGGCTGTCTTGGAGAGGCTGGAGCATCCATCCCCCACGCCACTGTTCGTGAGGCGCCCTGACGATGGCCCACCGTCGCGGCGCTTCCCAGGCGCACTGGAGCGGGACCACGAGCAGCTGCCGATAGGCCGGCTGGTCAAGAGAGATGTGGGAGTACACGGCCAGCCTCCCCCTCCACGTACTCCGCCCCCCGCCCCTGTGAGCTTTCCTGGCGACCTGACTCCCGTCATTGAGGAGTCCACCCAGCGCCATGATGACACGTCATCGCGGCCAGATGACACTGACGCGCCACACCTGGCTGACGTTGATGCTGACGTCGGTGTGGGTGCTGATGAGAGCCCCACTCCATCCCTCGCACCAGCAGCAGCTGCCATGCCGTCTCTCGAGCATCGGCCGGCCGCTGAGCGAAGTGAGCCCTCATCGCCATCACCAGGTGTGGATGTGCAGTCAGTGGAATTGCCGCCCAGCCCCGAGGACGCCATGTCGCCGCCAGGCAGCTGGGAGGTGCCGGATGGGCACCCTCTGTATTCGCAGCTGCAGCGGCCTGACGAGGAGAGCGCTGTGGGCCTGACGAGGGGAATTGTGACGGCACCTAATTGGTATGACCGCATCCAGTATGCCTTTAGACGGGTGTGTCAACACTCTAAGGAGAGGGGGGCCGCGCGGCTGGGTGCTGAGGGTGCCGACGTTGAGGCGCTCAATACGCTGATCGATGCCGAAATGGAGCTGATCAGGTAGGCAACAGAAGGAGCACATACGAGCATCCCTTAGTTGATTGGGTGTATTGTGTGTGTGTGATGTGTTGATGGGATGGGTGTAGTGAGATGGGCAAGTTTGCATGTGCGGCTCGTGCGGCTGCGGCGACCATTCTGCATCACCTCTTCCACCCGCCAGACAGCCGCCCGCCTCCCCCCTTCCACTACGGCTTTCTGGAGCTGCTGCCGCCGCCACGCACTGACCCCGACATATGGGCTTACTACAGGCCCAGATACACACAGGGTGAGCGGGGCTGCACTCATACGTGACAGAACAGAATGCGTGGATGCTCCCTTTTCTCTCTCCCTCTGTCTGCGTCGGTGTGTGCGTGTGTGTGTGTCAGATCGGTGTTTCGTTGCTGATGGGATGGTGCTGGCATTGATACTGGGGGACGATTCGAGGGGTGTGGGTGTGGAGGCTGCCATGCGCACCTACCAGCACGACGCCAAGGGCATGCAGGCCCTCGCCGACTGCGTCCTCGAGCTCGGGTCAACATCTCGCTTTGCCTTCCCGTGTGCCGCCCTGGTGCACTACATGGGCTTCTGCTTCTATGTCGAGCCGCTGGTGCACCTCGACCCCCCTCCCCGACGCATCATCGGCCGGATGGAAGCAGCCAAGTCTGACGGCAGGCGGCGCGGCGTTGGTGGTGCATCGTCGTTGTCGTCATTGAGGCGTCTGACGGTGCCGGTGATGCTGCAGGAGTTTGAGGCCACCAACCCAGAGCTGGTGCGACAGCTCACCTGCATCAGCAAACACCTCAAACTGCGGGTAGGTGGCTGGGTGAGTGGGAGGCTGGAACGGCACTTACGCGACAGAGAACAGACCGTAGGCAACTTGGTCTGTGTGCTACGTTGCAGGGGCTGCCTCTTCCCCTGGACGCGTCTGACCTCCCGAGCAGTACACCGACCCTCTCCATATTCCACGGTGAGGCCGACCAGCGGTCTTTCGTCCGCTGGCCAGGGGAGCTGCTGCCGCCTCACATTGTCGAGAAACAGTCGATTGCGCGGCCGGTACGCATGTGTGACGCGGATTGGTTCGCACTCAACGCTCGATGACGTGCTCGAGTTTGTGCATTGGTGTTGGTGTCAGAATCGCCGGCTGCGTGTGGAGCTGCTCAAAAGGCTGCCCGACATGCAGCTGCCGTGCACACTCCGGGAGTCCTCGTACACGGTGGGCGACGATCAATAAGAAGCAGACAATGCATTTCTCATCTGCATTGCATGCGTATGTGTGCAGGGTCGTGATGCGGACGGCGTGGCCCGGCAAAGCCACCGTGACGCCCTGCTCGACGCCTCCGACTGGCTGCGGGACACCCACCTGCCCACTTTGGTGGAGACCGCAGACCGGCTCGACATTGTGTTGATGGATCCAGCTTCCCTCACGAGCAACCTCCACTCAGCCGGGCTCAACGTCAGGTGCCTCGGGGCTGTCGCCACGAGCACATGTCTGCCGCCTGTGAGGGACGCGGCCATCCGTGACATCGTTGCGAGGACCTGCAAGCGCGTGTTATGCCGCATGATCCACGCCAAAGAGGGGCGGCAAGACGGCGGCGGTGTCGCTATTGATGATGGTGTTGACGGGGGAGCGGTCGGTGGGGCCATCCAGCCGCTGTGGGAGGGCGTGTCGGAGCGAACCTGCCAGAGGTATGTCTACAGAGAAAGTGTCTTCAGGGAGGGAGGGAGGGAGGGATGGTTGGTACGTGACACACGTGTGTTTCAGGTTGGTGATTGACACCTTCAATCTTGTGCTGGGCAACTCCTCGCATGCGTCGGCCTTCTGGACAAACGTCATCATGCCGGAGGCCAGCAAGAGGTATGTAGGTATGTGCATCCGCGGATGCACAAACCTGGACAGGACACAGGACAGTCTCATTAATTGACTGACGGATTCAATTCGTCCATTAGGTTTGACCTGCCGATGGAAGCAATCAAGAGGGAATCGATCTACAAGCCAGCCCTCTTCCGAGTACGCCACACCAACCAACGCACCGCCCTCCTCGGTGCACTGTATGTTGTGACCACCATGCCTTTATGCAGGCGCTAGAATACCATTGCCGCATCCATTTCACCGACAGGCTGAGGACCGCTCCCTCGCACCATTTCGACGCCAAGACGCCCGTCACCGCCGACGACCTCCTCCCATTCCATCTCACCACAGGGTCACCAGACAGCATCACTGCTTCCCAGCAGCTCTTCCCGCACTCTGCAGCCGTCTGGCGAGACATGCAAGGCAACGCCTGGACCAGGCGTGGCCCACTCCACTGCCCAGTTCTAGCGGGCTTCTACCCGTGCGTGCGGCTGTACCAACCGACAAGCCTGCGGTGCACCCTCATAGCCAACGACGGGAGGCGGCTGCTGATCGGCGGGGAGCTGCAGAGCGCTTTCACTGCAAACAGCCTGCAGCTGGATGTGGTGCGGCGGCTGTGTGCGCCACTTCCGCGGCTTGGGGCGGCACTGGCTGACATGGGCACCACATGCCTGGCCATGGGGCAAATCGAACAGGTCACACACCGATGGAAGTGGGGGGGTTGAGCCGGCTTGCCCAGATCATCCATCATTCCTTCCTTCTGTCCCTTTCTTCAGGCGCATGCGGTTGCCCGTCAGGCTCTCTGCCACCTTCTTGTCTGTGAGGGGGGCTCCTCAGCCTCGCAAGCGTTGATCATGGTGTTTCGGTCCCTGGCCAAATTGGGTAAGTCAGCATGCGGGGACACACACACAGCCGCACTGGAATGCCGTTTTGTGTGTTGGTACTTTTCTGTTGCAGGGATGTGGGAAGAGGCTCTTTCGGAGTACGAGGCCAGCAAGGCGGTGATCAGGCACACCTGTGGCTCGGCAACCGTGCAGGAGCTGCAGGTCGAAACTCAGGTCACGCGCCTCCTGTCGGACAACGGCATGAACGAGCAGTGCCTCACCCCCGCCAGCAACGCAGCCCTACTCGCGCAGAACCTGTTGGGCGCCCATTCTATCGTCAGCACACAGGCCATGACGCGTCTGGGGCAGGTGTACATGAACCTGCGGCAGCCAGGGGACGCCATAGGTCCGCTGGAGGCGGCTGTGGAGGGCTGTCGTGCCCGTGACCCACCTGACGTTAAGGCAGAGGCCGTTGCCCACGACCTGCTCTGCGACGCATACACAGAGTGAGTGAGTGGGTTTGGATCGACCTAGTGATGTGAGGGGGTGCACACATGTGTTGTCGTCCTTCCCTGCACAGGCTGTCTCACCTAAGGGCAGCCCTGACGCACGTCGAGGCCTCGATGGAGCTGTACGAGCGGATGGCCGGCCACACGGCGCCTTACCTCAACTGCCTCTACAAGGTCGCCACCACCGTGCAGAAGCTGGGCACCGTCAGCCTGCTCAACGTGACAGCGCCCCATGGCACTACTCCCGACCACCCAGATGACCTCGAGAGCCACGCAGCGCATTATGCCGCCGCCATCCAGCAGCAGATCACTGACGCCAAGGGCGCTGCAATGCGACTGGTGGGAACGAGGAGAGGCAGAAAGAGAGGCATCCTTGGATTGTTGTGTTGGTGTGTGTGCTTACACGCAGCGTGCGATATCGTTGTTTGAGCACCTGATAGACTGCCTGACGGCAGTGGCGATTGATCGTGAGAGCCGGGTGGTGGCGACCGAGTTGGAGGGGATGGAGGGGTCTTTGGTGGATCGCATAGTGAAGGTCATGCTGCACGTGGTGGAGCTCCGCATGCTCTCACTCCCCATACACGTCAGGAAGGTGGGCATGCACATCCACCCCCCACCCACCCACCCACCTGTCCAGTGCATCAATCTGTCCTCTACTTCACTCCTGCAGGAGTTTGCCGTCCAGGTGTCGCGATACACCCAGCGCTGCAGCGTGGCCGGCCTAGCAGGGGAGTCAAGCGGCAGCCTTCTACAAACCGACCCTCTCGCCTCCTTCTACCGGGACAGTTCATCGCACATGCCCGCCATGAGAGTATCGCAGAGTGTGGCGGCCAACGGCCAGCCGACTCCCCAGGTGCTGCGGTTCGCCGCACTGGCGTGTCTGGAGACCAGGCCCGCAACCGATGTCGAGCTGCACTGCTACCGGCTACTGGAGATGGACAAGTGGGCCGAGGGAAGGCTCCCTTTGTTCCGACTCGAACCAACGGCACGGTGAGCACCTACACACATCCGGAGCCCTCATTCATTCTGGCACCTCTGATCACCTGCTGCAGGTTTGATGGGCTGCTGCGGGAGGTACTTGCTCCTGCTGCGCTGCCGGCGGACGGGTTTGAGGTGGTGCCGGGAGATGCCTTCTTTGTGCTGCTCGACCTCGCTAGGGCGTTCTGGCCGACAGAGCACAAGCAGGCGGCGTGCCTGGCTCAGACAGACCAATGGTCAGACAGACAGATAGAGAGTGAGAGACGCAGCATGAGAGACGGACAGAGACTGCAGTGATGGTGCTCGCAATCTCTGCACATGCTGCTGCAGAGCCGTGCGTGACTGGAGATCGCAAGCGGGTCGTGTGTGTTAATGTATGTATGTGTATAGCCGCATGTATGTGTAGATACGATACACGCACTCTTCGTTGATCGACAAATCAGCTGTCTGTCGAGCTCTTTGCTTGATTCATCTTAGTGAGTGACTCACTGATTCACGGACGAACCAATCTGATCAACATAATGCGCGTGGCTCTGACACTGCTCGTAGCCCTCTGCGTCGGTTCGTGGTCTGCCTCGGCCACGGCACGCGAGGCCTTCCACCCGATGCTGCACTACACGGCCGATGGGACGCTGGCCAAGAAGCCTGAGCACATCACCGTCCATGATCGAGTGCACACGGCGTGGCTCTCTCCATCGTCTGCCGGCGCGACCAGCTTCCTCGCGACGAGTGAGTCATCGGCGCAGCCCAACTCGATGAAATGCGCATGCTCCTTTACGAGAGAGGAGGAGGGAGGTGAGCTTGAACAGGAAAAGAGACACGCACCTGTGTGCATGGTCGGGTGCTGTGTCTCCCGTGTCACTGTGTGTCAGGTCCGGTGGTTCCTGAGGCTGGTTCACCTGAGGGCCAACACGAGATCGCATACACACCGAAGGAAGGTCAGCACTTACACACGCAGACATACAGGAGACACACGTAACAGACATGTCTCGTCTTGTGCCGGTTTGGCTCAGCGGCTGTGGCTGCGTCTCTGCCCCGTTTCATGACGCAGCCTGATCTTGTCTCGGAGGCCGTGAACTCGGGAGCGAATGTGGGTAATGTCGTCAACACTGTGGGCCAAGTGGCGGCGTGGCCGTTCAATGCTCAGCAACAGGTATGCTACAGCCAACCTTACTTCT